AAAGCGCGCCTAGTAACGAACAAAGAATTGGCAGCTTTTCTAGCCAGGCTCTACCTAACTGGGTAGTGCGATCCCTCGTGGAATGCGCAGAACTGCCGATAAGAGCGAAAAGCCGGCTTCCTCCTCTCCTGAAAGGACCGGAATACTTGCGTTGGGTAGAAGGCAGCGAGATTGCAAAAGTGGCCGCTACGCGGCGTTTGAGCGCTTCGCGCGGATATCCGGCTGCAGATCGTCCAGTACAAGTACAAACTGCATGCAGTGCCCCTTCTTACACTCAGGATAATTGAGCCAGAGCGAGAGCGCCATCTGTCGTGGAGTTTGGTACAAGTAGCGAGCACCAAGAACCGTCCGGTGTTTTCTACACGCACTGCATTACGGAAATTCCGCCTATACTAGAAAGAAATATGAAAGGCTAGAATCAGCTGGAGACTACGTGCAATTCTCGGATGAGTGACAGGACGCATGACGCAATCACGCGTCTCCAGAATCTTGCGTGGGAGCCGAGCACCGACGATATACGCATTCATATTCATATCACGATATTGAGTAATGTGTAAATAAATAAATAAATAAATAAATAAACGAACGAACGAACGAACGAACGAACGAACGAACGAACGAACGAACGAACGAACGGACGGGTGGGCGAACGAAGAAAGGGATAGACGAAGAAAGGAAAGAATAAGTGAATGAATGAATGAATGAATGAATAAATGAATGAATGAATGAATGAATGAATGAATAGGTAAATATTTCATTTTTATTTATTAATAGAGTAAATAATTATTCATTTATTGACTGTTTGTTAGCGGGGCGACATCGGTGAAGGAAAGTGCGGATATAGGCTAATTGAAGTAAAGCCGAGAAGAAGATGCAAGAAGGGAACCTCACAATGTGATTTGCGTTTAGCGTAAACCTGTCCTCCTAATTAGCCACAAATATACTATATACATGGTATCAAGGGCTTGGTATGCTTGGTATGGTATGCTATGCTTGGTATTGTATGCTTGGTATGGTATGCTTAATACTTAGTACTTGATACTTAATACGATATTGATGGTATTTATGATACTATAATTATATTTGAATATTATTGTGTTACAAATGAAACAAGTGCATTTATGACCTCGTTGACCTGCCGATCATCGTACAGGTGTAGCCAGATATAATTTACGCCACTCAGTTTCAGATATAATTATAAAGCACCCATACATGCATGAATCACTTGGCCATTCGTTCACCTTATTTACAACTGGTTTTGTCACGTGATCACGGGCCTCTCTCTCGCGAGATCCGCGACGTTCATTTGACACGTAGACACGTAAACGCGAGGTACCTTGGTGAAGACCACTGGTGAACTTTCTACATGTGAACACTTACAATACACATGATAATGAAAACTAATGTAAGTACATGGTACAGCTATAGATATATCGTCGAATTAGAAATATGTTAAATTAGTCAATAAGTAGGTTTTAGGTGTTTAACATCGTTTTCTGTGGAGTCAATGTTTAGAGGAACTGCCTGAAAAAACTACATTTGTAATATTAATGTGTTTATGTAATGTAAACTTGATTATAGTAATATTAGGGAGATGACACCGTTGTTGATTTACTGGAATGTTTTCCGTGAGTAACGAAGTACAATGTATTTGCTATAACCATGTATGGGAGCATGCCCTGTGCTTTCAAATGTGCTCCAAATTCAATGTTTTAATATGTAATAAATCTGTAGCAATTGTAAATTGCATAGATATGCATATGTTAAGTTGCCTACTATTGTCTTGCATGAGTAAGTAACACTGATACTAACCAACAAATTGTATTTTGTAATTAAGTTCTATAGAATTAAAGTAGTTTCCATGAGTGCACGCATGCAAGAACGCATGCACGCACGCATGCACGCATTTATGGTAAAAGTCTGCTCTGGGTTTCTACGATTATCGATATGTTGCATGTGCTAGATAGACTGTGTGGTATAGTGTGATGTAATGTATGCTGACCATTAGGAGGTTTTCTGTGAGCATAAATGTATGCTCGAACTAATTTAGATTAATGCTGACATTCGAAGAGTTGATTTACGAACGAAATTTTAGGATAATTTTTGTTCGTAACTTAGCGGTGCTTTGTGTAGTATGACGACTGACTCAATGTACATGGTACTAATATTAGAAAGAACGAGAGAGAGAGAGAGAGAGAGAGAGAGAGAGAGAGAGAGAGAGAGAGAGAGAGAGAGAGACGAAGTGGTTTAAAACTTGCATTTATTATTTTATTGTATA